TCTTATCTGTTTTAATGTCCTGATTTATTTGCTACTGTTGTTTTTTTATCTTATTATCCTTTATCTTAATATTTATTTATTTATTTTTACCTCTTATTCTATCTTTTTTAATGCTCTGATTTATTTGCACTACGTTAGCTGCAAAAAATTATTTCATTGTTCATTATCTGTGGACCACAATGTTCTTTTCTGTGCAACGATGACAATAAAGATTTATCTTATCTTARTGATTAAAACAAARGRATAATTAATATATTGTAGCAGTGTGTACACGTTTCCAAGTGTTGGTTGACTTAATCATTAGTGTCCGATGTGAGAATGTTCTGTGGAAACAAACAGTTAATAAAAACACATAAGCGCAGTGAATAACATATGGGACTTTGATTTGAAATTTGTCATCTGGTAGAAATTTTGTCTGTGATGTGGAGATGATCAGATCTCAGTCTGATTTAAGAATAGTCTGTGGAAACAGTTTCAAAATGGCATAAAAAAGTAAAACTAGGGAWATGTTTTTGTGATTCTTTTGGGTTTTATTTTGAAATTTCATATTGTTGGGCCGTARAAAAAGTGGAATGGATATTTTGTAAGTAAAGATTTTCAGTTTTGTTGCCCAYATTGACCTGTACTCATAAAAAACTATACAGAATCAAAAAGAATGTATATATTTGGTGATGATTATATTGAGTTTTTATATATTTGGTTGGTCCCTGCACAGAATACTAACCAAATAACTAACCAAACAGATGTAGTTACAAAATTTTCCAAACAATTATAAAAGTTTTATTAAACCAGGAACTGCTGGCTGAACCTTGTCAGTAGTGTAATCCGAGAAAATACAAATTTTAAATGCGAAAAATAAAGACACCGCAAAAATATACACGCCACTTGTACAATAATGTAAATYCAACAAACAAAACAAGGGCTGCACTTTTCTAATCAAAAAACCCTGAATATGTGCACCTTTAATTAGGTTCATGTTTAAAGAGTTCTACATGTTAGGTGTAAATTCAAACTGTAAGACTCTCTCCACCTCACCTGCTCCATCCAGTCTCTATGTCACGCASCCAGCTGCAGCCAATCAGCGTCAGAGCTTCGCTTCACCGTATCAATCATCTCACAGGGATCCAGGTCTGAAGGCTCACCACCCAAGGATCAGGCTGCTCTCCTGACGCGTTCAACCCACCTCCACCCATTCTCCGCCTTCATCTCAGACTCTGCCTGGCTACCAGTGTCCGAGCCCCGGTGGGGTAGACGTTATTCCTGAATCCTCAGCTGAGTGCTAGCTCACAGTAGTTCGCAGCACTCAAGTCTTCTCGAGCGCCAAAGAACTTTCTCATATCAATAAATCTGTTTAACTGCCGCCTTTCTGTGTGTGTGTGTGAGTCTTTCCAGGTTGAATTTCCTTTTATTGAGGGTTGAGCTGTCATTTTCTCCTGGGTTTGAACGACGTTCTCTCTGAGAGTCTGGAAAAAGATTCACGTCTCACATAGTTGTGGTCTCCCCTAAACGTAGGAACAACGGGGTCCTCATCCTCTTCGTCATCAGCCTCGCTGACGGACGTTTCAGAAGGGCAGGAATCCGTTTCGTCTGGATCCCAGGTGATTTCTATTTCTGTAAAGTCCTCTCCACCTGCTGACACTTTGATTGGATCAGCTGGTGTGCTGGTTCGCGGTTCTCCGTCTTCCACTTGGCACACATAAAGCTGTGGGAACGGTTTATCTTCATCGTCCTCACTCTTCAAAGGATTTGAGGTGAAACCAAACTTATTGATCTCWGTCGTTATTGTSCTGTTGAGCTGCTCTGCCTCCAGACTGCTCCAGTCCTCCTCCTCTTCCTTCTTGATATAGACTGGCTCTGGGTCCTGCTGGTCCACATCGGGCCTCTGCTCCTCTTTAGTCTGCACCAGCTGCTGAACATCTGGCTCAAACGCAGACATTATTATGTTCGTATTATAATGTCATCATAATAAGAATTTCAATGATGTCAAGACTTTTTAGCTAGTTGAATAACGACTTCATAATAATTAATATTTTTTTGACAAACTG